TGCCTCTCTGCCTCTCTGCCTCTCTGCCTCTCTGCCTCTCTGCCTCTGCCTCTGTATCTTAAGTGAGTGCTAGGATTAAAGGTATGTACCACCACCTCCCAGCCCCTGCTTTCTTTTAGAACCCAGGACAACCAGCCCAGGACATCCATCACTAATTAAGAAAATGGAAAATATGTACAGGCTTGCTTATAGCCTGATTTTGTGTAGGCATTTTTGCCTTGATTGATGTTCCCTCCTCTCAAGTGACTTAAGCTTATGTCAAGTTGACATAAAACTATTCAGCACACTTAGGCATATATTTAGGACAAGGGCATAAAGTAGCCACATCCTTGCCAAAATATCATGAGTTACCTCTAGGCCACTTACTAATATTCCTTCTGCTCTGATACTTCTTCAGCTGTACGTCACAGTTCAAATCAGGCTCAGCACTGTTCCCGAGCTCCTACTAGTATGGTCCATTCAGAGCTGCTTAAAGTGTTCTATCATTTTTCTACTCCAAAGTCCCAAAGTCTTTCATATTCCTCTAAAAAAATAGTATGGTCAGGCCTGTCACACCAATACCCAGTCCCTGGTACCCATTTGTCTTAGTCACTGTTCTATTGCTGTGAAGAGACACCATGATTAAAGTAATTCTTTTGATTTTTTTTTTAAAAAAACATTTAATTGGGAGCTTACTAACAGTTTCAGAGATTTAGTTTATTACCATGGTTTTTGAAACCTCAAAGCCCACCCCAAGTGACACACTTCTACCAGAGAGGACACACCTACAAGAAGGTCATACCCCCTAATCTCTTTAATCTGTTCAAATGGTGGCACTCTCTGGTGACTAAGCATTCAAATATATGAGCCTATGTGGGACATCTTATTCAAACCATGACACACATGTGATCAAATACAGACCGTATTTGTCTTTCTGGAGTTGTGTTACCTCACTCTGGCATTTGCAAATAAAGATTGATCATTTAGTCAAGAGTTGTTCAGTTTCCATGACATTAAGCTTTCTGTTGTGGTGATATCCAGCTGCACTCTGTGGTGCCAGATAGAATAGAGTGTTATTTCAATGTTCTTGTATCTTTTGAGACTTGCTTAGTTTCAGAACATCTGATCAGTTTTGGAGAAAGTTCCATGAGGTGCTGAACAAAAGATGTATTCTTTTGCATTTTGGTAAAATGTTCTGTAAATATATTAGGTCTGTTTGGTTTATAATGTTTGTTAGTGCCAGTGTTTCTGTTCAGTTTTTGTCTAGATGACCTATCTATTGGTGAGAAAGGGATATTGAAGTCTCCCAAGGTCAGTGTCTGAGGCTCTTTTTCTGCTTACGTAGGAATGCCTGTTGGTCTTAGGGTGTTGGATAGCATGATGAATGAGGAAGAAGTTTGGGGGAAAGGTCTATGTGACCCATTGTGGATGGAAGCAGAGAGAAGGAGGAGGACAAAACTGTTAGGGGGTGAGACTCAGGGGGTTGGGTTTGGAGGAGAGGAAGGAGTGGTGAAGAATGGCAGTTAGTCTACCTGCATAGCTGGCCAGAATGACCAGGGTATTGGTCATCGTGGTTTAAAATGCATCATTGGCACTTTCAGTGCCGTAATATAGCTGAATGAAGAAAGTCCTACAGACAGCCTAAGTACTATTTCCTGTTGTCCAGCCTATCAATCTACTCCAGAACTTTACCTTGATGTCAATAAAATCCTCAATTTTAAAATTTTCTTTCTCTCTGTGTACTTATGTGTATGTGTAAAAAATGTGAGCTTAGTGCATGTGTGTGGTGTACGCATGACCTGTGCAGATATATTTACACATATGATCCTGAGATGACTTTGGGTGTCATACTCTACCACTGTTTGTCTTATGTCCCTGAGAAAGTGTCCCTCGTTGAACCTGGAGTCCTAGAAACTATCCTGTTCCAGTCTTCCAACAGTGCTTAAGTTACAAGCCATGCCTAAGTAGGATCCAATTTTTATCTGTGGTCTGAGATTTTTAATTCAAGTTTAATTGTTTCTACAGCAAATATCATTAACTGTTGTGCCATCTCTACAGCCTCAAAACTTCTGTTTTAAAAATAACAAAATATTTTAATGAACAAACTGTCATGATATCAATCACTGCCTTAAGCAGTCTCAAAATGAGTTACATGTGTGGTAACCAAGAAAACGATTTTGATGGCTGTCCTCTTACCTCTGCCATGCCCCTTTGTGGTGGGTAGATAGGTTTTCCCCACTGTACCAAAGCTATCAATCAGGACGCGTACCCACAACTGTGCACTAACAAAGGTATACAAATGCCTTGCCTCTATTAGAATATCATTTTCATCATACTCTCAGCATCCCCTCCCATTTTTTGAAGGACTGTGGAAATGAAGACCCTGAAAGGAGATCAGTCCACGATATGTTTGGTAGAAAACATTATCCCAGCTCCCTAACACTCCTTTATATAAAAAGCCGAGGTTGTTTTGCTGGGGGGCTTCACCCCAGGTCCTGAAATAAGATCCCTCCCCAGGAAGGGCAAGACCACTCCCACAGACTGTTTAAACTGCCGCCCAGAGAATGAGGGTTTAGAGTGCTCTCCCCTTTCCTCTCTTCCCCTCTCCACCCCGGAGCACTGCATTAAACATGGGCGTCTTTTAATTCGGTTTAATTTGGTCTGAATGGAATTATTTGCGTGGACGGAGAGGATCGTCTAAGAGAAATATGTTCCTAACAATATGGGAGAAGGAGTCAACTTATTCCATGATTTTAAATTTTAAATCCACAATGCAAACTCATTTCATTGCCAATTGTACAGTTAGTAACAGTTCTGCTAAGTATCTTTGGAGCTCTTGCTTTGCAGAGGCATAAAGGGTGTCTCATGAGTAAATTTCTTATGAAGAAAAACTAAGCACTTGGGGTGAGGCATTGGGACCAACATACATAAAGGAACTATAGAAATATTTAACGAATTACCAGAAGAGGCGGTGACCAAAAGGGGAAACGGTACTGTTTGTAAGATCATATCACAAAGTATAAAACCAGAATGCCGAGAAAAAGCCGTCATAAGACGGAAGACTATAAGCAGAGCCTCTGCAGGGACCTAGAAAGGAACCACTTATTCCCAAACCCAGAGCCGCCAACGCTGAGCTTTAAAGGCGGATGCCGTAAAAGTCGAGGCCTCCAGCCAGCCGGAGCGTCCTGCTTTGCGGCAGCGCCAGGCGGGAAAGCGAGGCGGGCGGGCGGTTGAAGAGTCCTCGCCCCGCCCCCGCCCGCTTCCCAGCGTTGCGAAGGAGGCGTGAGCAGACTGGGGCCCAGCGCTGGGCGCCGCTTAACACCCACTCCCCGTCCCCGTCGCCTGCGTCATGGAGGCGGCGGTGGATGCCGAAGTCGAACCTGAGGATGGCGACAGCAGCTGCGCGGACGTGTGCTTCATGGACAAAGGCCTGCAGAGGTAGCTGCGGCCACCCGATGGGACCTCGGGTCGGCTGGCTGAAGTGGTGGCGCTCCTCCCTGTCCTCCCAGCACAGCCCGGGGTCCTCCCTGTCCTCCCA